GTCTCTGAAGCCATTCACGAACTCAAGGTGGCTGTGACAGGTCCCATCGGCCACCACTGCTTATAAGACACCTCCTCCCTTATCTGTTTAGCTCTCTCCCAGTAAGCAATCAATCTACCTATCTATCCTTTCCTCTGAACTCAAGAGTTCCAGACTCATCCTCTGCATCCGTCTCATTTGGTTTCTATCCTTGATGTAGAAAGTCTGCACAGCCTTTCTGCCTAGTCAGCCATCTAGTCCCACCCCTCTCACAGTTTGCAGTCTGATTTCTGCTCCCATCACTTTGCTGAACGTGTTCTCATCATCAGTGACCTAACTGAGAGTGCTGTGACCAGTCCTTTTCTCCTTTGTTGTTTTTATAGCATTGATCCAGCAATCAAATCCTTTGTCTTGATGGAAAGAAGCAAAGATTGTCCAATTTTTTTGTTATTGTTTTAACTTTTTGTGAATTGGGTGAAGTTTTACAGAGTAAATTGATTTTCTATTCAACAGTTTGTACACATTTTGTCTCATGGCATTGATTGCAACACTCACAATGTAACATCACTTATCCTATTTTCTCCCTTTATTTCCAGTGGGTAGTGGCCGAGTTTTACTAGTGGGAAATATCTTAAAGGAAAACATTTTCAGAGGATTTGAAGACAAGTTTTTTTGTGATACTGAGGCACACGGCATTGTTTATGTAGAATGAGAATAACCTAGTAGTGAAAGTAACCTATGCTGTAGCAAGGGCCAGTTTTACTGTTCTGTTTAATGTAGGATGTAAACAGTTCTTACTATAAAGCATGGTCTACTTTTTATAAGTAATTTCATTCACCTTTAATTTATCTTGTGTGTGAGACCAAATATGAGCAGATTCTGCGCAAAAAGTGTCAGCTACCTTCATTATGCTTTTTTCAGAACTGTCTATATGGGATCAAATTGATAACCACAGCTTGAAAGATTAGATAGGACCTTTAGAGAACAGTGAATTTATGTTAGTGGGGGAGGAATAACTCAGAAAAGGACGGTGAGAATAGTTGTATAACTCGAAAAATATAATCAATGTTAATGACTTGTCCATGTATAAACTGTTGAATTGTTATATGTTTTTGCTGTGTATTTTCTCAGTACAACATAAATTGAATTTTTAAAACAGAAATGAATGTTTTTCTAGATAGAACTTCAATAGCATTGTAAAATACTCTGAGTTAAAATACTGACTCAACTTTAGTAAACTATTGAGACGAATTTCAGCTTTTAGTAATATTTGTCCTGCAACACTCAGTTAATTTCTTTTTTACAGGAGAATTTGTAGTGGTTTACACTGATGGCTGCTGCTCCAGTAATGGACGGAGAAGGGCAAGAGCAGGAATTGGTGTTTATTGGGGGCCAGGTCATCCTCTGTAAGTAAAACCAATAAAGCTAAAATTTTTAAGCTTTACATTTTACTGAATTATATTTTAAAACTTGTGAAAGAATGAGACAGGATATGTTTATTGTTTGGTTGTTTGGAAGACATCCTAAGTGGATAGCATTTTCAAGGGTATCAGAAAAATAGCTTTGATTCGTGTTGATACATAACCGATTTGTTCTTCATAATGTTGAATTACTTTAGTACTGCTAAACCTTGACAAGTCTCTGTGTCTCGCTGATAAAATTTTACACCAGAATTATGTAATTGCCTCCTTGAAAGAGCACAGGGAGATCATTTTTCTAAGTGTAACTCATCCTTTCATTAGTGTTTTAACCATGATTCTTCTGAAAAGTTTAGGATGAGCCTTTTATTTTCAAAAGGCACAACATCACAGAGAGGTGAAATGCAACTATTCAAATAATCTTAGCACTTGAGTATGAAAGAACTTTCATAGTTACTGATAACACTGATACTTAATGTAACAGGGACCTAACTCTTCTAAAATCTCCATGTATTAGTTCTGAGCTTTGCTCTTGAATATTAACACATGCCCACAAAGTAGGCATATTTAATATAAATTGTAAAGTAATATCACTTATACTGGGCTGTATGGTTTATTAAGCTGTTTTACCTTACAATCTTACTTTAGCTTTAAATCCCATAAGAGTGGGTGAGCTCTTGTTTTCATCATTTCACAGGTAACAAAGTGAGTGTCACTGAGTCTAGGTAGCTTGTCCAAGACCACATATTTCAGTCTAAGATTTAAATCTAGGTCTTTTGACTTTGGTCCAGTGTTTCTTCTTCCATTGTACCTTTCAATAAAGTGTTAGTAGTATCATTAGTTAGATTGATTTTTAAAGGCTGTGTTTTTATGTGATACTTCTGTATTTCAAATAAATATACATTAACTGTTATCCACTAAAAGGGTTAAAGAATTCCTTTGAAAATTGTTTGATAATTTTATTTTGCATTGCTTTGAAACAGAAATGTAGGCATTAGACTTCCTGGGCGACAAACAAACCAAAGAGCAGAAATTCATGTAAGTTATTAGATACATTTTTATACAAAAAAGTTAAGTTCATCATTCTTTAGAGTTGATTGTCAGTGTATCAACTAATATTTTATATTGAAATGTTGGCAGTTTAGAACCACCAGCCATTTCTTGGAAACCTTATCCAGGGTTGTTATGAGTCTGAACCGACTTGACAGCACTTCACAACAACAACAACTTGTATATAATATAGTTAAAGTCTAGAGGAAGCATAGTTTGTGGTGAAGTTAACAACTCTGAAGTATAAGAGTTTTTTAGAAAAAACTGCAAAACTTCTGCAAGTAGACGTGTAAACAGGAATTACATATTTAGTGTTATTTTGTGGAGACTGAATATTATAGCTAGTACAGGAAAGGAGTGGTTACATTTTGAAGTCATGTTGAAAGTTGAACACTTTGTAGAATGATTTCAATTTGTTTCTTCAAGGCAGCCTGCAAAGCCATTGAACAAGCAAAGGCTCAAAACATCAATAAGTTGGTTCTGTATACAGATAGCATGTTTACTATAAATGGTAAGTGTTCACATTTGATTTCTTTTGGGGTGTTTTCAGTAAATATAAATAGATACTTTCTTACCTGGTGGGAGGTATTGTAATAGGGCAGAACCCAAATGGTAAATGAGGATAACATTTAGTTGGTAAGTTACCCATGAATGAGTGAGTATTTTAGAATCCCAGTTCTGCTTCAGTATTTACCACATACTTGTTTCATACCCACTGTGTACCACTCTGTGAAGCTGGATATATCATAAGAGAGATAGGTCTCTACTCTCCTGGCACATAGAATTTAAGTGTAAATTATCAATTTAAGATAGTATGCTAAATACCCCTTGGGGAATAATACAGTGAACAGGGCCACATGGGAGGGATGCTTTAGAGGCCTTGGAAGGATTTTTTGGGGGAAGTGACATCTGAATCTGATAACTAAAGTTTTGAATACAGGTTAGAGAAAAAAGAAGAGGAGTACTTCAGGTATTTGCAAAAAAACAAAATGACTTAATTGTTGTTGTTTAGGTGTTGTCAAGTCAGTACTGATCACTAATTGTGACCCTATGCACAACAGAATGAAACATGGCCTGGTCCTTAGTCATCCTCAGAATTGTTGTGTTTGAGCCCATTGTTGCCGCTGTGTCAGTTCATCTCCTGGAAGTCTTCCTCTTTTTCAGTGACTCAGCACTTTACCAACCGTGATGCCTTCTCCAGGGACTGATCCCTCTTGATAACATGTCTAAAGAACAAGAGATGACGTATTGCCATTCTTGCTTCTAAGGAGCATTCTGGCTGAACTTTCCACCAGGATTTATTTGTTCTTCTGGCAGTCTTTGTTACTTTCAGTATTCTTTGCTAGCACCATAATTTAAGTGCATCAGTTCTCCTCTGGTCTTCCTTATTCATTGTCCAACTTTGGCATACATGAGTAGATTGAAAATACCATGCCTTGGGTCAGACATACCTTAATCCTCAAACTGGTATCTTTGCTCTTTAACACTTTAGAAAGGTCTTTTGCAGCAGATTTACCTAATGCATACGTCATTTGATTTTTTGACTGCTGCTTCCATGACTGTTGATTGTGGATCCAGGTAAAATGGTCTTTGACACCTTCAGTCTTACCTCCGTTTATCATGATATTTGTTTTATTAAGTTGAAATCCATACTGAAGACTTAGTCTTTGATCATCAGTAAGTATTTTATGGTTTTTTTTTGCTTCCAGCAAGCAAGATTGTGTTATCTGCATGTTGCAGGTTATTAATGAGTCTTCCTCTACATCCTGTCCTGAATCTGGCTTGAATTTCTGTCAGCTGCTTTTGATGTACTGTTACAAACGTTTTGAATTATCTTCAAGTTTTACTTGAATGTGATGTTGATAGTGTTTGATGGTTTCCGCATTCCATTGGGTTACTTTTCTTTGGACTGGAGCACTCTGGCCTGTACTGCTTCCAAAACAGATTATGGTTTGTTCTTATGGCAGTCCATGGTGCTTTTAATATTCTCCTCCAACACCGTAACTCAAATACATCAATTTCTCTATGGTCTTCATTTTCACTGTCCAACTTTCACATACATATGAGGTTATTGAAAATACCATGGCTTGTGTCAGGTGCACCTTAGTCCTCAAACTTACAGTTTTGCTCTTGAACACTGTGAAGTGGTCTTGTGCAGCAGATTTGCCTGATGCAATACATTGTTTGATTTCTTGAATGCTACTTCCGTGAGTGTTGATGGTTGATCCAAGCAAAAGGAAGTCTTTAACAACTTTAATCTTTTCTCCATTTGTATTGATTCAGTGGTAAGAATTTTTGTTTCCTTTACATTGAGGTGAAACCCATACTGAAGGCTGTGGTCTTTGATCTTCATCCGTAAATATTTTAAGTCCTCTTCGCTTTCAGCAAGGAAGGTTTTAACATCTGCGTATCACAGGTTGTAAATTAATTAGTCTTCCTCCATTCCTGATGCCACATTTTTCTTCATATAATAATCCAGCTTTTTGGTTTAGTTGCTCAGCATACAGATTGAATAAGTATGGTTAAAGAATACAACACTGGCACACACCTTTCCCAATTTTAAACCATTCAGTGTTCCCTCTTTCTGTCCAAACAACTGCTTCTTAGTCTGTGTACAGGTTCCTCCTGAGCACAATTAAGTGTTACAGAATATGCATCTCCTCAATGTTGTCCATAGCTTGTCATGATCCACAAAATCAAAAGCCTTTGTATAGTCAATGAGGCACAAGTATACGTCTTTCTGGTATTCACTGCTTTCAGCCAAGATCCATCTGACAGTAGCAGTGATATCCCTTGTTCCATGTCCTCTTCTGAATCTGGCTTGAACCTTTGAAACACTCTGTCACTACATGGTTGTAGCTGTTTTTGAATTGCCTTTAGCAAAAGTTGTGTGTAGTCACCCTTTTATGTTTTTGAAAAGTATTTGTAATGAATAAGTCAGTGTGGTCTTGCAAAATTCTATCATGCCATCTCCAGCATCATTTCTGTCACCAACACCATATTTTCCGTTCTCTTATTTCCAGTTTTACTGTTCCAGTCACCAGTAATTATCACTGCATTTTGATGACATATTTGATAAATTTCAGACTGAAGAAGTTAGTAGAATTCTTTAATTTCATCATCACTGGCTGTAGTAGTTGGTTCATAAATTTGAATAATAGTGTTATTAACTGGCCTCTCTTGTAGGCATATGGATATTATCTTATCACAGACAGCATTTGTACTTCAAGATAGATTTTTAAATGTTCTTTTAAAGGATGAATGGGATGCAATTCCTCTTGAATTTTGTATACCTGGCATAGTAATCCATGTGATTGTCTGAGTCAAACTAGTCAATACCAGTCCATTTCAGCTCACTAATGCCTAGGATATCAATCTTGATATTTTCCATTTCATTTTTGGTGAATTCCAGTTTTCCTAAGCTCATACTTCATATGTTCTGTGTTTGATTATTAATGTATGTTTGCAGCTGTTTCTTCTCGTTTTGAATTGTGCCCCCTCAACAAATGAAGGTTCCGAAATGTTGATTCTGTCCGTGTACTCAAGGTCTACTCTTCCTTAAGAAAGCAGCTCTTCCCCAGTCATGTTTTAGGTGCCTTCCAACCTGAGGAGCTCATATTCCCGCACAACATGAAACTGTTTCACTGTTAATTCATAAAGTTGTCAGTAGCTAATCCTTCAGAAATGATCTGCCTACCATGTGTGACCCTGCTGGTATTTAAAATGTCTTTGGCACAGATTCCAGCATCTCAGCAACACAGAAGCCACCATAATACAACAAACTGACAGACAAGTAGTGTGTGACATAATTAAGCTAGTGCTAAGACTCGATGGCACTTAACAACAACAACAACAAGATTAGAATTATTACTTAGACTAGAAAGGAGCTCTGGTAGCGTAGTGGTTACGAATCGGGCTGCGAACCTTAAGGTCAGCGGTTCGAAACTACCAGCCGCTCCGCGGGAGAAAGATG